AGTAAAAAGAGCAGCGTAAGGAGAATTTAATTTTATTGGTTGATCGGCAAGAATTCTAACTGGCTAAAATCAATAATTGACTTCGTAATGTTGGATTTATATCACCAGGATAAAATCAAATATAGATAAAATCAAATCCGGGATAAAATATAAATCAGATCCGGGATAAAATATGGATTAATCCGGGGTAAAATATGGATTAAATCTGGGATGAAATATGGATTAATCCGGGGGTTGACAATTGGGTGTGATGTAATTTTTGGTGAAATTTAAGGAATTAATCTGGGGTAAAATGTGGATCAGATCTGGGATAAAATATGGATCAAATCCGGGGTGAAATATAGGAAAATCTGGGATGAAATATGGATTAATCCATTTTCACCCTGGATAAATCTGGGATTTGATCTGGGGTTTAAACCCCAGACTTTTGATCAGTATGGCGCTTCATACAATATTACATCAAATTTTTATATAAACTATAAAGAACATGGGATCAGCAATTCAAAATTAATTTATACAGGCTAATCTAAACGTTAGTCACACAAACACTTTTTTTTAATATATAGATTTCTTGTTTTCGTCTAAGGCGATACTATCAAGTCCTCTGCAATAAGTTAATTTCTGTATTTGTGTTTGATTATTTTCACGTCTAAAGCAACCATTGGTCTTTCTTTGAAATTCTAAATAATACTTGTTAATATTATTCAGCAACACAGGTTTAAAAAAACAAATCTGACGTGGCCAAACTAATTTTGTACTTTTTATTATAAAATCTCAAAAATACAAATCTTGAACATGTGTGTCACCTTTGCACATTAATAGTGGCGTGGTAAACGATTTAGCTATTACACAATCAGCATCATTCATGCTATTTTTAATTTACCTTTACCTTACAGACCTTTTCTACCCCTTCAGGATTTGAATCTTGAAATATCGATTGATGACATTCCATATTTTAATTCAGCTTAGAGATTTTCAATTTCGATAATTTCACTATTATTTGGTCTAGCCTTTATTAAATTTAATTAAGCAAAACGGACAAAAGATAGTCTAAATCTGAAATAATTTAAAATAGCTGAAATTAGAAAGAAAAGAATCGGGCAACGTTATGTTTTTTGTGTCTTTGTTACGGTATTGCATTACATATCTGTTTACATATTATCAAAGATTTTTAAAAAATTCTAAAATTTGGGCTATTATTAATCTGGAATTATTTGCATTTCGTATTTATTATATACATAATTATGAAATTGGATCAAACATTTATATGGTTTTAAAGAAATGAAAAAGAAATTTAATATATATCTTATAGCTTCTTTTGATATAATAAAAGTAAATACAATTAATGTTTGGTGGATCATTCTGATCATTTTTTTTAAAAAAAAAATGTTTAGGATAATAAACATCTTCAAAATTATATATACTGAAGATTTAATAGTAAAAAACTGATATAATAGTGCTTAATAGAAATCACAAAAAAAATATAAATATACAGAATAAAAGAAGCAAAAACAGGAATCATAAGTTTACACAAATTAAGGAAAGATGTTTTTCAAGATAATTTAAAATAATAAACAAGATTTGAATATTGCGATGTACAAGTTTATAAAGATTAATTTTGCATGCAAAATTTTTGTTGGTAATAAGTAGTGTTTGGATCTGGATAGAAACCGTCATCCGGATAAAATAAAAAAATTATCCAGTTTTTATCCGGGTTATCCGTTTCGGATAAAAATCCGGATATATCCGGATAAAAACCGAAATCCGGATAAATTTATATAAAAATTTTTTTTGTAGATCGGTTTTAACAGATAATTTTGTGGAACCTAATAAATAAATTTCGTGGTACTTATTTGTGGCTTTTAATTAAATTCGTGGCAATTATTTAATTAATCATAAAAACAATAGCATTTATTAGTTAAAATTGTGGCATTTATTTAATTAAAATCATGGCATTATTTGATTAAATTGATGGCTTTAATTTGTGGCTTTATTTAAATTAAATTCGTGGCATTTATATGATTAAGTTCATAGCATTTATTTGTTTAAATTCGTGGCATTTATTTGATTAATTGATGGCTTTAAATTTGTGCAAGGCTTTATTTAAATTAAATTCATAGCATTTATGTGATTAAATTCGTGGCATTTATATGATTAAATTCATGGCATTTATATGATTAAATTCGTGGCATTTATATGATTAAATT